AATTATTTGTATCATATTCCGATAATCGATCATATGATATAAAATATGTGAGAATACTTGGATGTATAATGGTTATATTCAAATCTTCATGAGGATTATATATTTCATTTTCATACAGAAAATTATCAGATATAAATATAAGAGCAATAGCACTAGTATTTATATATAAATATTCCATAAAATCATAAATATGTTTTAAGTTTTCTTTATATTTTATATTTACAAAAATAACACAATTATTTGTTCTTAACATGTTCTTATCAATAGTTTCTTCTTCTTTTTCTTTATTTAAATTACAATATAATGTATTTAAATCCTTGTATGATTCAATTATATGTCTAACAGAACCTACGTTTTCGAAATTCACATTTAAGTGTATACCTTTTGCATACACTTTATATTTTATAAATTTATAATTTAAATGTATTATTATACCATCTATAACATGATTAAGTGGTAAAATACGCAAACTACATTTTATGAAAAAATTTAAAGTATTAACTAATAGTAAAAATAAACACATTTTTAATATAGAAGTTTTTATATGCATTTTTTTTTTTTTTTTTTTTTTGGATATCTGAATGTTATATATAGGAAAAAATAATTAGAACTACAATAGAACACATGAGAATGTATGATATAAGGCATACCATGACTTACAAGGCAATATTTTATAAATAAATATAAATAAATATATATATATATATATATATATATATATATGTCACTTTTATTTTTATTTTTTTGTTTTTCTTATATTTTCTCTTTTGTAGAACAAAAATTTTGGTTAAACCATATAAAAAAAAAATGTTACAAAAAAAGAAATAAAATGGCAAAGAAAATTTTTTCTTTTTACTATAAAACGTTGGTAAAATTAAAATATATATATAAAAAAAAATAATTATATACTGAAAAATATATATATATATATATATGTATGTATTTATATGAAAAAATAAATGGATCATGTGTAAAAAATCATTAATGTGTAGAAAATACAAAAATATGCATACATATATAGATAAATATATATATATATATATTTATTTATTTATACAGGCTATAATTTTTCATTGCTCTGTACTATAATAAGACAATATATTTTTTGCCTCTTCATTTTCCATTTGTATACATATGTCTAAAAGTGACGAATTGTTTTCATCTTTAATATTGAATAAAGAATGAAAATTTTTTATATGAATATTCTGACTTTTTAAAATCGAATTTATATATTGTTTGTTTTGTAAATTTATTGATATATCATCTGTTGTATAATCAAAATTAATTTTATTTATATTATATAATTCTTTAGATTTTGAATAGTAATATAAAGAGTATGTTAAATATAAATATAATAAATGATTATCATTACTATATAATATAAAAATGAGTGGATGAGGATATACATTTTTTTCTTTTAATTCTGGGCATATATTTTTATTAAATAGTTTTTTTAGTAATTTAATATTTCTTTCAAAGATACATATACTTATTAAGTTTCCTTTTTCATAACTATTAATATTAATATCTATATCATTTTTTTCAATTAATAAATTAAAAATATCATAATTATGTGTTATCACACTATATAATAAAGCATTTGAATTATATTTATCCACGTGATTATAATTAATATGATTATTTAATAGGAACTTACTAATTTCATTATTTTTATTTAATATGCTAATAATTAATCCGTTCTGTCCATCATTATTATATGTATTAATTAAATTTGTATTCTCTATAATAAATTTTACGTTATTAAAATTGTTTCCATATACAGCAAAATGTAATATATTATTCTTATTAGCATCCATATAATCTTTTATCATATCATATTTTTTTTTTTCATTCATATTTTCTTTATATAAAATATTTTTATCAATATCATTATCATTCCTTTCTTCAACTTTGTTAATTAATCCATCCATTACCTTTATCAATTCTTCAACACTTTTTTCATGAGAACAAATAAATAAATTTTTTATGCTCAATAATTCAGCCATTTTTTTTTTTTTTTTAATAAAAATAAGTACAAGTATATATACCTAAAAAATATATAAATAAAAATGTATTTTAAATAAGGAAATAGGAAGGAAAAATATTGGATACCATAAATATATATATATAATTATAAATAACAATAAATGATAATTATAAATGTATAATGTGGCTCAAACAAAAAATATATATATATCTATCTATATATATATATATATATATATATGTCAGATTCTACCACAATACGGAATAAAGCTATATTTTATATGTTATATAAATATAAAAATATTTTGATAGATATATTCATAAGAATTTATTATATATATAATATATTCTTTAAATATATATACTATAAAATAAATATTATATATATATTTTTATTATCATTATTAAAAAAAAAATATATAAATAAATAAATAGATAATTATATAAAATATATATAATATTATATGTACTTAAATTTATATATAATTATCTCTATATTATTTTGGTGAACATACCAAACTATTAATATATATTAATATATATATATATATATATATATATATATTATATATTATATTTTACTTATTTATCTAATATATACCTTTTTTTATTATTCAATCGTTTCTGTTATGAACCGGAACCCGACAGCATTTATGATTTTTTACAAATAAATAATTTTTAATTAAAAGTAAACATATCAAAAATGTTATTAAAAGATAAGTTTAAAATAAAAAATACATAAAATAATATATTTATATATATATAGGCATATAATAAATACAAATATATATAAATATATTTTCATTTTTTTTTATCTATAAATTATCTCTGTATTTAAAAGCGGTATAAAAAATAATATATAAATAAATAAATATAAATAAATATATATATATATATATATATATATATATATGTATATATTTTTATTTCATTATAAAATTCTATAAATCCTCCTTTTTTGGGGCCTTATATATAAAAATATATGCTTGCATTATGATAAACAAAAAAAAAAGAAGTATTAAAAAATTTAAAAAAAAAAAATTAAAAAATTAAAAAAATAAAAAATGACAAAATAACAAAATAAAAAATAATAAAATAACAAAACAACAAAATAACAAAATAACAAAATAACAGGATAACAATATAACAATATAACATTCCTATCACATTTTAGATATAATATATAATTTATATGTCCACATGCAATATTTTATTTGGAACCTTTAGGATCCCTTAAATAAAAAATAATTTATAATAATAAAAAACATAAATGAACATAAAAAATATACGAACACATATGAAAATTTTAATAAATAAAATTACTTTTTATTTGTTCATTTGTGTCTAGTTGTTGATCTAGTCTTTTTTTTTTCCTTTTCTGTTTTTTTTTTTTTTTTTGAAGGTGCATGTTTATTTCGCAAATGTGATTTTCCCCTAGAACGACTAGAATAACTTTTTGAGGAGGATGAAGAAGTTGACGAATATGATGATAATCTAGATGAATGTTTGTAAGAAGTATGCGACGATACACATGATGATGTATGTGACGCTGAACGACCTTTTGATTGTGTAGATAATTTAGAAGATGTATTATTATATTCATCTTGAGAATTTGATAAGGAACGATTAGATATTCTTGATGATTTTACAGATGAGGATGTTGAATGTTTTTTATCTTTTATACACATTTTTCTTTTTGATATTTTTTTATGATTATTATTTGTTTTATAATTTGAATGAGCACTATTTGATGAATTTCTTCTATTACTACTTAAAGAAGATGATGCAGATGAAGATGTTACTGAGGAAGACGATGATGAAGATGATGATGTTGAAGAAGATGATGAAGAAGAAGAAGACGAAATATTTGAAGAATATGAAGAAATATTATTATTATTATTTTCTTCTGTATCATATCTTTTTTCATTAAATCGATTATTATCATCATCATTTGTATATCCATAAATTGATTTTCTTTCTTCTTGTATTTGATCTAATATATTTTTTGATTGTAAACTTTGTCGTAGATTTCTTGAATCATTAATATTTCTTTTATTATATTCATTTGTTTTTTTAATTTTATGTTTTTTTTTTTTTCTATTAGAAAAAAAACCTTTTTTTTCTATAGGCTTCGATTCTATATTAGTACACATATTTGCATATTTTGCTGCTTCTATTCTTTCATTTTTTAAATATTTATTATCTTTCAATAATTTTAATATATTATTTGAAATATCTCTTATACCAATACCTTTGTCTTTTAAATCTTCAAGGTATGTAAAGTGTGTTAATTTTTTTATGAGTTCCTCCTTATCTTTAACATCACTGATAAAATATTCGCAACCGTTCTTCATAACATATTCGCATAATTTTAGGCCCTAAAAAAAAATCAAACAAATGAATGAGTGTATACATATATATATATATATATATATATATATATATATATGTATGTGTGTGTGTATTTATAATAACATTTATATATCTATACACAAATACATACATAAAAACATATATACACATTTTTTACCTTGTATATTCTTCGCCACCTCGTTGGCTTCTCTTGTATGGCCTTAAACACCTCTGTCATAACCCTTTTGTAATAATTTACATCATATGTTGATATAGATAAATCATATAAAAGACTATTAGACACTCCATAATTTTTATTATTTAAAGCTTCTTTTAAATTTTTCTCAAATTGATTAGATTCTAAATATCTGTAATATAAATGAATCAAATTAAATACAAATTTTTTTGGACAACATGTAATAAATATAATGAGATAATGTAATTAAATATTCACACACATATAAAAAAAAAAAAAAAAAAAAATTACCATACGTAAAAATATGCAAATGTTAAAATATACTTATAATATCTTTATATGTTTTTATTACTTTTGTAAATAATTATTTATACTCAAGACTTTTGAGTTCACTTTCTTAAATAATAGCATCTACAAAACAATATATATATATATATATGTATATTTATTTATTTATTTATTTATTTTTAGGTGTAGGACTACCTTTTACAGAGATATACGAATTGATACTTAAAAAATAATAAATTCGCTTTTTTTTTTTCAATTGTAACCATGAAAAAAAAAAAAAAAAAATTATACTATTATGTCATAGCAGAACACATTATATTATATGTTTACATATATATATATATATATATATATATATATTTATTTATTTATACATTTTTATTTAGTCTCTTTTCATTCTCTTTATTATTTTTTTTTTTTTTTTCTTTTTACATACTACAATAAGGTAGATTGTGACATATATAAATTAACCATAATAAGAAATAATATATTATATACACATAGAAATAATATATATTAATAATATATACATTTTACAAAAAAAAAAAAAAAAAAAAAAAAAAAAATATAATCTAGTTGAATTATACAACTATTTTATTATATGGTTGTACAAAAACGAAAACAAATAAAGAAAATAAGAAAAAAAAAAAAAAAAGAGAGAAAAGAAGAGAAAAGAAAAAAAAAAAAAAAAAACCAAAAAAACAAATAATATAATATAAATTATAAAATAAATAAATATAAATATATATCTATACATATAAATATAATTATATATCAAAAAGAAAGAAAATTTGGGTTATACATTTTTCTTTTATAAACAAGAAAATGGCGGATTGTAAAAAATTAAACCTTAAAGGTATAAATATAAATATATACATATATATATATATATATATATATATATTAATTTATTTTATAATATAGCATTTATGGTTCTCTTGTTTAATCTTATAAATATAAAAATTATATATAATATATATATATATATATATATAAATATATTTATATAATGTGAAGGGGAAAAAAAAATTATACTAAGAAAAGAAAAAAATTCAATTATATAATATGAATCGTAAATAAAACACGAGTATATATATATAATATATAATTATAGGGGGAAAAAAAAAAAAAAAAAAAAGGAACATGCGATTTTAAGAACTGGAATAATGAAGAAAGGAATTATTAAAATAATAAATATATATATATATATATAATATATATTTAATAATAATAATTTCTATATTTATTTCACTTAATATATTGAAATGTATAAAAAAAGATATAAATATATAATATATATATATATATATTATAAATATAAAATAAGATGTAATATAAGAATAGAGAATTCTTTTATAAATAAATTTAATTAAATATAAAATAATAAGATCATTAATATTAAATATATATATTATAATACATTAATATTTTTTTTTTTTTTTTTTTTTTGGAATATTTGAGGTTTTTCATAAAGAATTGATTTAATAATATATAAACTTAAAAATGTTATTTATATCAATATTATATATATATATATGTAATGTATTATATAGATCTTATTAATACTTGCATATTATTCTTATTATATATATATATTATATATATATATATACAATATATAAAAAATGTTATATATAAATATATAGATTTTTTTTTTTTTTTTTTTTTTTGTAAGCCTTTTCTTTGGTAAAATATAATTATTAATAACAAAAAGTGTACAAAGAATTTGTTAAAAGAATTTTTATTTTTTATTTTGTAAAACATTTTATTACATTTAATTGTGGAATAATTCTTTTACATTTTACAAAAAATATGTATAATGGAATATAAATAATATTTTAATACTTGTTATATTTGAGTGCTATTAATAAATATATTATAATTTAATATTTCTAAAAGAAATAATTTTTATAAATGAAAATATAAAATAAAAAAATACATACATACATACATATATATATATATATATTATGTGCCTGGTTAAATATATTTATTATTATTAGTTTCTTTCTTGTTTGTATGGTTATATTAAAAATTTTTCCTTATGGTGTTTTTTCAATATGTATATATACAGAATAGGTAATGTATTTCGTAAGGCTTTCAATATAACTAATAATTAATTACAGCGTCATAAAAAAAAAAAAAAAAAAAAAGACTAATATATATTATTATATATATATATATATATATATATTGTTTGAGTGTCTATTTTATTATTTTTATTTTATACGTTTCATTATTGAGACATTGTTATAAATGTACTTCTATTCACCATGATAAAATATATAGAAAAAAAAAAAAAAAAAAAAAAAAAAAAAAAAAGAGATAAAAGGAAGAAAAAATTATAAAATTCGCAATATATATATATATATATATATATATAATATATTTTAAATAATAATAGGGCTTAAACATTTTTATAAATATAAGACAAAAAGAAAAAAATTATCGTCCATTTAAAAAATTTAAATGATATATGTATGCCTTGTTATATACAATAATATATATATATATATATTTTTTTATTTTTGCGTAATATTATATATATAAGAAAAATATAAAAGGTTATCATACGAAAACTTAACTAGGAAAAAATTAAAATGAATAAAGACAGATATGTATATATATATATATATATATATATATATATGTATATTTTTTTTTTTTTTTTTTTCCTTTAAACTTATAATCGTGTAAACACAAAATTACGCTTACCAAACAAATATACACCTTCTCTTATTAATGGTAAGAATTATCTAATTCTCCTTTTTTATTGTAATCTGTATTTATTTTTTATTTTATTTTTTTTTAAATTTTACAATAAAAATTGATATGTACAATAATAATTTAAACGTATAACATCTGTCACATTAGTATGTTATAATATTATAAGAAAAAAATAATATTTTTATATCAATTATTTCTTTTGTTTATTATTCATTTATTAATTATATATATATAAAGTATGGTAAATAAAAACGTTAAAGGTTACAACCCCAATCAAAACAGGGGGACAAGTAAAGGAAGAAATATTAGCAAGAATAATAAAATTATTAAAAATAAAGAAGGAGGAAAAAATTTATATACTTGGTATATAGATAATAAAATTGATGAAAAAAAAAAAAAAAATGAAGATATAGAAAATAATAAAGCTAAATATTTTGAAGATGTTGCTATAAATAAGAATGTAGAAGAATATATAAATGTCATATGTAGAATAAAAAATAATAAAATAGATTCAAATAATAATATAAATAATAATAATAATGTTGATGTCATAAAAAAAATTTCTTATAATAAATTAGTTATAGATACATTCCATGTAGGTAATAAGAGTTCGCTAAACTTCGAATATACATATGATAGAGTTTATGATATAGAAAATAATAATCATATGATATTTAATGATTATATAAAAAATAATATTAAAAATATTTTTCAAGGTATTAATTGTAGTATATTGGCATATGGACAAACTAATAGTGGGAAAACATATACTATGTTAGGAAATTTTGATTTTCTAAATAATTTATTTCATCTTTGTAAAGATAATAAGAATTATGATAAAAATGAAAATAAAATTAATAATGAACATGAAAGGACAAACAAAAAGTTTAATAATGATAATATTAATAATAATGATAATATTAATAATAATGATAATATTAATAATAATAATAATATTAAGACTAACCTAGACATGAATATCTCTGATGAACATAATGATATTCATTTAACATATGATGAATTAACCAATTGTATAACAAACGAACCGAATAATGTAGGTATCATACCACATTGTATAAATTACATTTTTAATTATATAAATTATCATAAACAAAAAGATAAAATAAATGATAAAATAAAAGAATTTACTGTTACCTTATCCATTCTAGAAATATACAATGAAGTAATTTATGATTTAATAAGTGGAGAAAGTAATTTATCTGTAAATGTGATAGATTCTAACAAGAATGAATTTATTATAAAAAATCTAAAGGAAGTTGAAATAGATAATATTATAAGTGCACTTTACTATTTAGAACGAGGTGTCAATAATAGAAAAATAGCCTTTACACATATGAATAAAGCTTCTTCAAGATCACATTTAATATTTATTATTAAAATAAATAGATATATATATTCAACCAACACCATAAGATGTGGTAAACTATGTCTTGTGGATTTAGCAGGAAGTGAAAGATTAAAACAAACTAAAGCAACTGGATCTATCAAAATAGAAACTACTATGATCAACAAAAGTCTAACTGTTCTTAGTAAAGTTATTAATTCTTTAGCTATCATGCAGATAAAGGAAAAAATAGAAAAGAACATCAAGGAAAAGGATAAGGGGAAATATACAGGTGATAATCATATAAATCAAAATGGTACAGGTGACAACCATATAAATCAAAAAAATATAAGTGACAATCATATAAATCAAAAAAATATAAGTGACAATCATATAAATCAAAAAAATATAAGTGACAATCATATAAATCAAAAAAATATAAGTGACAATCATATGAATCAAAAAAATATAAGTGACAATCCTATTGATGATCATGATAATCTAAAACATGTTGATAAAAATCATCCAGCAGATACATTGAATACACAAAATAATATAAACATAAATAATAACACCATTCATATAAATAGTGCTAGTCATAATCCACATAGTGGTAGCTCTAATGTACATATACCTTATCGAGATTCTAAACTTACAAGAGTACTATCAGATAGCCTAGGAAACAATTGTAAAAGCATTCTCATATGTACATTGTCCTCACAGTTACAATATTTAAACGAAACGGCATCTACAATAAAATTTGCTCAAAGAGCTAAAATGGTAAAAGCGAAACCAATAATAAGAGAAGAAAAGGTAGAAACGAAAAAAGAATTTGATACAAATGAAAAAGAAAAAAATATGAAAAAAAAGAAAAAACGAAATGAAGAAAAAGATGATAATAATGATGATAGTAATGATGATAATAATAATAATGAAGATAATTATGATGATGATAAAAATAACCCGTATGATAATAAATTAAATATTTTCCTGAATTTTAATAAAAATCACATAACTAAAGATATCATCTTCTTTTGTTTTAGTCTTTGTATTTTCAGCTACATGTGCGGATTTAAGAGCACTGGGAAAGTGAAATATCTAGACTTCTTTATTGAATCCTATAAAAATAAAATTGACATTATTAAAGAGCAACTTAACAAAAGTGATGATAACACAAATAAAAATGATATTAATGAATATCTTATGAAAACATTTGACGATTTAAAAGTATTAACCGAAGAAGAGAGGCAAAGAAATATTAAATTAAATATGGAAAAATTAAAAAAAGATAAAGATCATAATAAAAATCTAATAAGTCAAATACAAAAGAAACACGAAAATGAAGAACATGGTTTGACTATAAGAAATTTAGCTAAGGTAGATCCTAGTTTGATTTCAAAATATGATATACAAAAGAGATATCAGCATAATAATAATGATGATATACATATTAATAATAATGATGATATACATATTAATAATAATGATGATGATATACATATTAATAATAATGATGATATACATATTAATAATAATAATGATGATATACATATTAATAATAATAATGATGATATACATATTAATAATAATAATGATGATAATATTAATGATGATGATGATGTGTTAATAGGTGATATATTAGTAAAGATGAAGAACGACATATGTAATATTATAAAATTCAATTTGACTAGCTTAAAATGCAATAGGAAGGAAAACGATGAGATATTTGAAGAAATATTACATATAGTAAATACAGTAAAAGAAAATAATAACATATTTTTAATAAATGAATTAAAATATAATGGTAAAGTTGATATAACTGATAAGGGAAATAACAAAATAGATGACATGTTAAAAGATGAAAAAATAAAAAAAAAGAAAGATAATGAAAGTGATAATATAAACATCACAGATGATAACCATAATAATAATAATAATAATAATAACAAGATTAGTTTTAAGTCCATAAAAAATATGAATATTGTAAAAAAGTATTTAAAAAAGGATGAAATAAATAAAAATAAAAATACAAAATC